GAAATTGCTATTTATCTTTCCTATGTTAAGTTGTATTGATTTCTCTTCGATTTCAGTTGATATATTAGCAATTGTAACGTTGATTATATAGCTGTGGTTTGAATTTTCCTTAACACTTTTCACAATCCAAAAGACGGTTGAATTTTTTAATTCGTCCCCTTCGTTCAATGTAATGTTCTTGTACTTGATGAATAATGTCAAATTTGTTTGATTTGTCGCTTCGACGCAAAACTCGAACATCAAAGGTTTGTATAACTCAACCTGCAATGTTGTATTTGGATTGTCGTTGTTGCACATCTTTATATCGCCTGGGTAAATGATAAGTAAAAACATCAAACACAATACAATGCTAGCATGAAATAATTCAATTGTTGTGTCTATATGCATAAAAAAGGTGGATTTAAAAAAAAGTAAATTAGCCAATCAAATTAAAATTGTGTGTAGGCTTCCGTAAATAATGACAATTTGGTTTCTAAAAAATATTGAGTTAAAAAGGTTTAGTTTGACTCAAGTAAAACCTACATGTTTTTTTTTTTAAATAATGTTAATCTATCGATAAAGATATTTTGTCCATAAAATAAAGGGACATAACAGTGAAAGTTTTGAGATTAATGTTAGTTGAGAAAGAGGGTCCCTGTTAAAGGACTATTGAGTGCAGCATCTTTATAAATGCAGCACAAACGACGATATTCCTTTTTGAGGTGTGAATGTTGTTATGATTTGTATTTTAACTGGGCACTACAATTAATGAAAGTACGCTGATCTTGGCACAAATAGGAAATCAGCTTTTGGCTGGGTACAGGTTCGATATGGGCTGGTCTCGGAGAAGCCACTATCCAAAGACCTCAGACTTGACATTGTCTTCTAATAGGTTCTGAACATAGGCTAGTCAATTCTTGGAAGAAGCACTGTTCATGTATGCACTCATTTTAACGGTTTGACTTATATCTCACATAACAAACGATATAGCTATACGAGCTGACCCGCGCCGTAAGCATACGCCGCTATTTAGTAGTTTTATTTTTTTCTTTTGGTTTATTCATTATTCGTGAATTCAACACTACCTATGCTGCGACTGAAAATATTTTGCTTTAAAACAATATCAGTTACTCGTGAAGGACGATTACCCTCACCAGACTGGTCAGAGGCGTAGCGAGGGGGGGACATATGTCCCCGGGCGCCGACCTTAGAGGGGGGGGGGCGCTAAAATGGGTTTGAAAAACAAATTGAAAGTATGAGGGGGTGTGCAAATCAAAAGTTCGACGGGGGGGGGGGGTGCAAATCGAAAGGCGCCGGGAAGGGTCGCTACGCCTCTGAGACTGGTAGTGGTTGTGGTGGTGGGTAGCGATATGCCTAGAGAGTGAGGGATGGGGCGATTATTTAACCAATAAAACCAAACAAATGTGTTTTTTTTTAAATTAACGTATTTTATTCTGCATAGTCAACATAAGAATTGGAATACAGTGCCTGTAGCGTAAATAAATAATAGTGTAATGTGGGACCTTGCATGACCACAATGGAATATAGTTATACTATACATAATTAGTATTCAGTTATGTACATGGAGGGAAAAGCAGACGTTGGGCGTTCAGTAAACAAAAGAAATGGCGACGTCATATTTTAAATAAAATGTGCAGTATTTTAAGAATTAACCACGCTTATATTGGGCGCCGTGTAGCACCATTTTATATTAATAGAGGGATATTTGCCTTGCTTCGGCTTTGATATTCATCTAGCTTTGTTGTTTAATTAAACCAAAAACTTTCAACGTGATACTCTTTTATCGATCATATAAAATACGCATACTTATTCAATTAAATTATTTTATTTTATGGTTTTAAATTATATTTTCTAAAATATTTAAAAAAACAATACACATGTTAACAATATTCAACTTACAATTGTTGAAGCTCGCAGCAACTAATACGAATACGCCAACCAAATAAAATGTGAAAATCATGTTGAATAATAAACAGTCCATAAACTGTTCCACTATGTATGTGGCGCAAGAGTGTAGACATGGGATGGGTGGTTTAATCGTAACGCAAGACTACAAAAAGTGATTCAGAATTTTTTTTTCGTTTTCTTTTTTTTTTACTACTGCATCCTGCATGAATCATTTAAATTTTTGTATTCATTTTAAGATAGATTCAAATAATTTTATTTGGTGTGTAGTTTCACACACCGTTCTTGAATGACTAATCAAATATTTTTAATTAAGTAATTGACCTTTTGGTTAAAGTTTAAAAGAATGGTAACAATTTTAAACAATAAAAATCTACCGGATAAAAGTTAGAAAATCAAGTGTGTACAATCCGGTATATCAAAGCAGTTCTGATTTTTTTGTCTTTGACTTTTCTTGTAGTGGATGTTTCTCTGATGTACTATTTTACATCCTCAGACATTTCAATCATCTCTTAAATCTTTGTTTATTTTTTATGTGATTCAGTGCTTCAATCTTTGTTAATTTGTTTTGTGTTACATCTAGAAATATCGCATTCAGCGCTTAAATATTTGTAAATTTTGTGAGTGTTACGACCTAAAATATCTCAATCTTCTCTTAAAGCATTTTAATATTTTTTTGTGTTACATTCTAAGATACCTCAATAACCGCTTCGTTAATTTGTTTTGCATCTCAGCCTGAAATATCTCAATCATCTCTTAAAGTTTTGTTTTAATTTGATTTGTATTACATCATAATATATCTCATTCACATCTTTAAGCTTTTTGTTTTGTGTTAATGCTGATATATCTCAATCCTTTTCTACTGCTTTGTTAATTTGTTTTGTGTTATATCCTAAGATATCTCATCATCTCTTAAAGTTTTCTTTTAATTTGTTTTGAGTTGCATTATGATATATCTCAATCACCGCTTCAAGCTTTGTTGATTTGTTTTCCCCATAGGAAATATGTACCAGAATGTGAGTGTATGAGTTGGTTAGGATGGGGGAAATGGTAAGTGTATTTTGTATGTCATGGAATGTTTTGTTAGGATGCAGTGTAAGGATATGAGTAGTGTGTGTGTGAGGGAACGAATTGTGTGATTGTAATGTGAGGGTATGAGATGTTTCGTGGTAATTTCGGTAGTGTAGGTTGTGAGGCAATTATTTGTGCGTGTTTATCGTGAGGGTATGTGTTGTGTGTGCTTGTGTGTGAATTTGAGAGGAGGATTTGTGTGAAAGAATGGATTGTGTGGATGGAATGTGAGGGTACGACTATTGTGTGTGGAATGGTAGGACATGATTTGTGTGGAGTATGAGGGTATATACTTTGTGTGGGTGTGTGGAAATTATAGTAATTAATTTTTTTTTTAAATTGATTTGATGGTAAGGGGTCGTCCATAAATGACGTCACACTCACAGGAGGGAGTGGGGGTCCGTAATTTTGTGACGATGTGTGACGAGGGGGGGGGGGATGTTCAGATGGTGCGACGTCACACTTTTGCATTATAAAAAAGCAATGTTAGATAACGAATTTTAGACGTTATTTCGCGTTTTAGAAAACTGATTTAATAAATTGCAATGGGAATTGATTAAAATACTCTATTTTGACATAGTTCATACAAGATTTTGGAAAAATTATCGATGTTTAAAGAAAAATTCAACTGCAATTTTGGGGGGGGGATGGTTGTATGCTGAGGTGTGACGTCATTTTAGGGGGGGGGGGTGTTTGTCTTTTTGTGACGATGTGTGACGGAGGGGAGGTAGGGGGGAGGTAAAATCGTCCAAAAACCGTGACGTCATTTATGGATGACCCCTAACTGATTATATAGTTACAATGTTGGCTTGTTTTGTTACAATGTTTTATTTTTTTGTTCGATCGTGTGTCGGTTAAATCTGAGGCTGGGTCCTATTGGTAATTTTTACAAGTATAATGTCAAGTCATCATTGGTATGAGGCTAAAATGTAGACCATGTTTTTAATGAAAGGTTTAAATGTAGGAATTAGCCTTGCGCTTGTTTAATGCATGTTATATTATGAACACTATTTTGTGCAGGTTAAATTATACATGGTTCAAAATGAAAATCTGCACCATTTTCTTTGTTCAGTGCTTATAAATAATATCCCGCCAAATTTGTTGTAGTTATTTTAATGTGTTTATAGGTATGTGCAAATAAATATAAATGTGTAATAATTGAAATCTCCCAAATTTATTAGTCTTCTCTGAAAAAAATGTGTAGAAAGACCCGTTTTAAAATATCTCAAGGATAGTAACCCTACAATTTCAAGCCGTTTTTTTTTCGTTTGGGTAACTGCAGATTTACTGTGACATTAGCAGGGTATGTATAATTTTTCATTAAACAGTGTACTAGGCGAATACTCCGCCCTCCCCCTTTCCTTTAAACAGAATAATGTGCTATTCTCATTTGGGATGAGTTACACACCATACTGCCAGATTAGAGGCAAACATGTACAGTTTGGGTTGGTAGTCGACTACACTGTCAATCGACCACATCCTTCCACAAGATCGAATTATCACCCAGCAAGCTAAAGCTGCACTTTCTTTCTGCATATATTTTTATTATACTTTTTTTGGGGTGGGTGGTCAAATGGTAGAGCGTTTGGCTGCAAGCCCAAAGGTTTCGATTTCGGATCTCAGTTTGTACCTGTGACTGTAGGGCCCAACTCAGATGGGTGCTAGATCTAAAGAGGAATCGCTCTTGTTTTTTTACTATATTATAGTTTGCTGTAACGATATGTTACATAATACATTTAGCATGTGTGTACATTTCTCCTCAGTACAATCAGAGGCGTAGCGAGGGGGGGGGGGGCGGGGGTGCGGACCGCACCGGGTGACACCATTTAGGGGGGGTGACACCAAGACACAAAAATAGCAAAATATATAGAGAAAATCTTGAGAGGGAGGGGGATGCAAATCGAAATTTTTTAAGTTTGTCCCCGGGAAGGGTAGCCACCCCTCTGGGGGGTGCCGCACCGGGTGACACCCGACCTCGCTACGCCACTGAGTACAATAAAATCAAACACATACTTTCTGTATAGGTAAATTATTTAATGTATAGAAAGCTTATGAAACATATTTCATCTGTATTTCGTGGCTGAGGGTGGGTGAGTTGATAGGATCATGTGATTGGAAGCAATCACGCCAGCTGAATGGCGTCCCCTGAAAGTGCAGTAGTACAACATTAACTCAAGATATCAAACAATGGTAGCCCTTACTACGAGAAGTAATACATATATATATATGTATATATATATATATAAATATAAATATATATATATATATATATATATATATATATATATATATATATATATATATATATATATATATATATATATATATATATTTATATATATATATATGAAAACCTACTGAGATCATTTTTCATGGAACCGATTATTTTTACACGAATCAATTCTCATAACCGTATTAAATTACACTTAACCATCTAATGTAAGCAATCTCTTAAAACGCCACAATAATATTTGCTGATGTAAACTCGCAGTTAGTCTCTCGTACTAACTGATCTCTACACCAATCCCACCCTTAACCCTCGACACACTACAACAGATAAATGTACCATATGAGGCAATATTTGGGTTCTGCTCGACTGGACGGCCTTGCACTGAAAAAAAAACAAAGAATGATACATAATGTATGAAGCGTAATACTATTCTGTTAATTTTTGCGCACTATAACACCCAACCCCAAACACTCTTTTTATATCACTCCCTGCTCCACACACACACACACACTATGTAAACACTCCGCAACCATCACACACTCTTTACATGATAACTTGCCATCCCAACACACTCTTTACATGATAACTTCCCACCCCAACACACTCTTTACATGATAACTTGCCACCCCAACACACTCTTTACATGATAACTTCCCACCCCAACACACTCTTTACATAACTTCCCACCCCAACACACTCTTTACATGATAACTTGCCACCCCAACACACTCTTTACATGATAACTTGCCACCCCAACACACTCTTTACATGATAACTTCCCATCCCCCACACACTCTTTACATGATAACTGCCCACCCCAACACACTCTTTACATGATAACTTCCCATCCCCCACACACTCTTTACATGATAACTTCCCACCCCCACACACTCTTTACATGATAACTTCCCACCCCCACACACTCTTTACATGATAACTTCCCATCCCCCACACACTCTTTACATGATAACTTCCCACCCCAACACACTCTTTACATAACTTCCCACCCCAACACACTCTTTACATAACTTCCCACCCCAACACACTCTTTACATGATAACTTCCCACCCCAACACACTCTTTACATGATAACTTCCCACCCCAACACACTCTTTACATAACTTCCCACCCCAACACACTCTTTACATGATAACTCCCTACCTCCCCCCACACACTCTGTACACAGTAACTCCCAAACCCATACTCTGTATACAATAACCCCCCACCATCCCGCATCTCCCCATCCCTTACTCTTCCACACTGTATATAATAACTCACCATCACCAACACACTACATCACACCCACACTATATAGAAGACGACATCACACCCCCACACACTATGTAGACTTAATTCCCTACCCCACACATACTATGTACACTATTACATTACACCCCAAACACTATGTAGACTAAACATCCCACCCCATACTCACAAATCTGTACACGATAACCTCAACCATCACACACTTTGTAGACTAATTTCCCACTCCATATTTACACACTCTGTACACAATAACTCCCCACTCCATATTTACACACTCTGTACACAATAACTCCCCACTCCATATTTACACACTCTGTACACAATAACTCCCCACTCCATATTTACACACTCTGTACACAATAACTCCCCACTCCATATTTACACACTCTGTACACAATAATTCCCCACTCCATATTTACACACTGTACACAATAACTGCCCACTCCATATTTACACACTCTGTACACAATAATTCCCCACTCCATATTTACACACTCTGTACACAATAACTCCCCACTCCATATTTACACACTCTGTACACAATAACTCCCCACTCCATATTTACACACTCTGTACACAATAACTCCCCACTCCATATTTACAAACTCTGTACACAATACCGGGTAACCCGGGGTAATTCCATACACTACTTTTCTAAAAAATTTGTAAAAAATCTAAAATCAACACTACCACAATATTATATTGAGGGTAACACTAGACATGCATTACTTATATGATGGCAAACAAATATAAAGATAATTCACAAAATAAAATACAATTTTTAAATATTTCACTTTTATTGCAAAAACATGCCAAGTGGGGCAATTCCACACACATTATGAAAATTTTAAAATTCATGTATTTAAAAATGTGTAAAAAACATTTTCCCCCTTGGAAACAATTTTGCATTGGGGCAACCAGTCTTCATCACTGGATGAAGAGAAAGTCTCAATTTCTTCCTCCTGAATTCTACTCTCATCTGTCATAGGCCGAAGTTATTCCTTTATAATTGTGGACCATTCTGAAATAAATACAAAATTAAATGTTAGAAAGTCTAATTACTAATGTGTGTATGGGGATGTTTAGCTCTAAATATTGCATAAATTATAATAAATAATATAAGTACAGTAACAATAATAATGGATAAAGAAATAAAAGAAGGATGTGGCAATTTTACTTAACTTTAATAGCAGAGTCTTTTTAAAAAATAAATAGTACTAGATCTAGTACTATTCAAGTATTTTTTTAGATTAAATCATGAGTTGTGAATTACAGAATTAGCCACAACCATTTGAAATGGTTTAAAATAAAAGCTAAACCCTCTAAAGAGTATAAAAAGCAACATGGGACATTCCAAACTATAGTGTATGGAATTGCCCCACACCATGTGTGTGGAATTGCCCCACACCTACTATTGAAAAAAATATGCTTTCCTGTTCTAAATTAAAGGCTGAATCTAGCATCATTAACTGTTACTATTAACACAAATGATTAAGCTTTCATATATTCAATAAATAATTGACAACAATTAAAAATAAGACAAAAAAAAATATTTTTTAAAAAGTGCAGGGGTTGTACTTACCTAAGGATGTTTGAAGATAGATGCAGATAAAATTAAAATTCTTGCTCTGAATGTAGGTGAACGCTTCTCTAACAGTATCAGAAAGTACAAAAAATGACCTCTTAGAAACAGGGAATAGTAACTTTTAATTAAACTTTACTCTCATTAAAAATAGAGAGTATCCAGTATATAGTGTGTGGAATTACCCCGTGTGTGGAATTACCCCACCTTACCCTACCTCCCCACTCCATATTTACACACTGTACACAATAACTCCCCACTCCATATTTACACACTCTGTACACAATAACTCCCCACTCGACAAACAACCCTTGAGACAAAATCTCCCCACCCTACCCCACAAAAAACCAGTTGACTAAACTCACCACCCCAAACTCATACACTCTATATACGATAACGCCCCACCCCACTCTCATATACTCTGTAGACAATAACACCCCACCTCACACTCAACCTGTAGACAATAAATACCCACCCCACCCCACAACCTGTAGACAATAACACCCTACCCCACACACACCCTTTAGACAAAAACTCCCCACCCCACACACACCCTTTAGACAAAAACTCCCCACCCCACACACACCCTTTAGACAAAAACTCCCCACCCCACACACCACCTATAAACACATGCCCCCCACCCAGCACTCACACACTCTGTAGACGATAACTCCTATAACCGCCAGGGCAACAAAAAACAGACAGCATATTGAGATCGTCACCACGCTATTGATGGACACCTGCTCCTGGATTTTCTGCATGCGTATCATATACATTCCGCTCATGTTGCCTTCTGGGGAAGTATAAAATATCAGCACGTTCGTTTTTTGAAGTATAGGAACCTCCCCCCCCTCCCCCCGCCCCCGGCCCCGTTCAATTTTAACAAAATATCAGCACGTTCGATTTTGAAGTATAGGACCCCCCCCCCTCCCCCTCCCCCCGCCCCCCCCCCCCCCCCGTTCAATTTTAACAAAATATCAGCACGTTCGATTTTGAAGTATAGGAACCTCCCCCCCCCCCCCTCCCCCTCCCCCCGCCCCCGTTCAATTTTAACAAAATATCAGCACGTTCGATTTTGAAGTATAGGAACCTACCCCCCCTCCCCCCGCCCCCGTTCAATTTTAACAAAAAAATAAGCCCGTTCCATTTTGTAAAACTGAGTATCTTTAAGGTATATCTTCGGGCTAGGCACCTCCTCCAACCCCGCTCCCCCCACCCGATCAATTAAAGCAAATATAAGCACCTTATACTTTTGTAAAATTGAGTATCTTTAAGGCATATCATCGGGGTAGGCAGCACCTCCTACCCCCTACCCCCCCCCCCCTATCAATTTTCGAAAATGTCAGCACCTTAGCTTTTGTAAAAAAAAGTTTCAGATAATCTTTCAGACATGTCTTCGGGGTAGGAGTTGCGTCCCCAACACACTGATCCATTTGAGAAAAAAAAAATCAGCACGCCACATTTTGAAAATCAGAGTTTCTTTCAGATAGATCTTTAAGATGGGCACTGCGTCTCGTCTTCCCCCCCCCCCCCCTCCTTACACACACACCTCAATATAAGTAAATTTCAGCACAATTAATTTCGTTAAACATAGTTTATTCCAGACATTTTTTCCAGATGGGCCCTGACCTCCCACCCCCACCCCCAGCCCCATCTCCTCTACCAAGATGATGTAGAAATGTATATAATTTATATAAAAAATGTATATTTCACTCACTGGTCGCACCCCCCCCTCTCTCTTCCCCCTCCTCCTCTTCCTTCCCCCCCCCCCCCCCCGGGAGTAGTTCTCTATTTGTACCCAAACGTCCCCAAGACACTTGACCCACCTTTACTGGTTAACACTAAACGGTGGATAATGAAGTTGCTCTTGTACGTTTGAAGCGCTCCAAATTTGACGTCCGTGTTCCCGTAGTCGTGCAGGCTGACGTTGAACACGTATATCGTGACGTCAAACCTAAATATGGAGGTGCGGTTGACGGTCCAGTTGACGCAGGTGAGCAGGACGCACTCGGTGGCCTTGAGCCAGCGGTACTTGTAGAAGACCATCAGGGGGACCGGGTCGCGGGGGGCCGGCACATACACACAGATGTCGAACCGCGCGGTGTAGCCTATGTTCGCGGACTGCTTCGTGTAGTCGGACGAGCACATTTGGGGTGAACCTACAGAGAGAAAAAAAAACAGATCTGAATGTATTTTATAAACTTATGTGTAACCATATTATATTGTTTTTTGCAAACTTAACTCTTAAGATTAAAAAAATAACCATATACCTAAATCTATATGCAACGGCTTATAAATTTTCTAAACCTATGTGTAACCATATTAGATTGTTTTTTTTTTTTTTTTGCATACTTAACTTTTAACATTCAAACAAACCTTAATCTATGTCCAATGCCTAATACATTTTCTAAAATTAGTGTAACCATATTACATTTTTTCTAACTTAATGCTTAACAATTCAAAAACCTTAAACGTAAATCTGTGGCCTAACATTTTTATTTACGTAAAGTTTATTACTTTATACAACTTTACTTAAAATAGTCTGATGACAAATGAATTCGGAAATCACTTCCTTAATCTAAACATCTAAACTTTCAAGTTTAACTGTGTGATAATAAGGCATTCAGTTTTCAAAAGTTAAGGTTAATTACATTTAGAGTGTAAATTATAAAAAGAAGAAAAAAAAAACACATAGAAACGTTTAAAATAATAAGCCTTTAAAAGCATTGGATGCCAAAATCTGTAGCGACAAAGTTGTCATTAATTAAATAAATAAATTAGCTTTATTTTCTTGTTTTCACTTCATTTGAAAGCCTAGCATCATACATTTTCTAAATTTCTGTTATTTTCCAATTTTACAGTAATCTATATATATATATTATTCTCTTCTGGGAGACGCTAGAAAACTAGCTGTAAACGCGCTCCCTACCATCCCCACCCTTACATGGTCTTAGTGAGCTGTGGTTCACGCTATGTTTACCTTCGTGGAGTCGGGTTTAGTGACGGCTATTAGGGGCAGATAATTTAGTTTGAAACGATTTTAAACGTTGGGGGGGGGGGGGTAGGAAGGGGGGGGGGGGGTTATGGTCCTTAACGAGCTACTTATAGTGTTTTAAAGAAATATTTTCAGTGTCAGCGTTGGTACTGTCGAATTCACAAATTATGAATTACTGAAAAGTAGTAAAAACAACAACTAAATAGCGGCGTATGTTATGCCGCGGGCCGGCTCGTTTTATTTAAAAGAAGTTGACACCACATAGGCTAAGACTAAAAATAATTGCGTTAAAAATAGTTATCTGCCCCTTGTCAACCCAGGAAAGAAGATGAGCAACCGTGAAAATAAAACAGATGACCGCCAGCAGATAGATTGTCCGCTGGTATTTAATCTTGTTATCTTCCCTTTATGTACTTGTAACGAAAAGCCTCATGTCTAATTAGATAAAATTAAATATTCTTGCATTGTCACCGGAGACGAATGCATCTGGAAAAAATTTGCTGGGTTAAAATTACGTTACACGATTTGTCATATCCGACAATCATATAAAACAAACAGACATTGCGAAGTACATAAATTCTTATAAGAGACGATTTTAGCACTTACATTATGAAGTGCATTAATAAATAACTTATCTCCTGTATACTTCAACAGTTAATCTAGCTCAAGAAAACTATTGTAAGCTCTTACATCCTGTAACTGATAAATCCAATAGTTTTTCATGCTGACCCTCTCGAGAGCGGCAAGTGTATCTGCCAAAGTCACTACAGGACAGCTTGGGGATGTGATACATGACAGCCGACTCTGTTCGGGTCAGCTTACGGGACCGTTTCAGTTCGTGCTGGACGATCAGCTTGTCGGAAGTGTAGAGTTCGCTAGAGGGACATCGCAGGATGATGTACTTCGCCTGTAAGTGTTCGAAGTAGGCAAGTTGGGAGTTGAAGTCTATGTAGACAACGCCTGTTGAAAGGAATGAAAACTATATAAACAAACACAACATTACAATACATATTTCTACACACCAATAATACACACTAAACTTATATATGAAGGAACATACGAACATATCGACCCACACACCATCCTCCATATAAGCCTATACCATGACAAATACCAAACTGTCAATACCGAAAAGTCTCTAGTTCGAACCCCCGGGCAGATCAGGCTCGTTAGCTGGGAACAGCCACTCTTCTAGGAGAGACAACTCCAAAATTAAACAACCTGCTGCCTTGTAGTTTGTTCTTGATTGGACAAAGGCTATGGAAGCAAATCCCAAAAGAAAAGCAGGCTGAAATCGGAGTCAATGGCCTCAAAGGCGCATCACAAGTTGACATGTATCCTTAATTGTGATGGAGGCGTGGTCGAGTCGGCATAAAGCTCATGGATGATAAATTCGAAAAAAAGTCTCGAGGTTAAACCCTCTGGCAGATAAGGCTCGATCCCTTCCCACACTAAAAATTAAAAACGAAGAAGAAGAGAATACAATGCTTGTACTGCTAGTGTGATTAAAAAAGTCTCATGAAATATCAAGGCCGACAACTAGACCATTGAACAAGAAATCATGAATGACTTATATCCACTCTAAGTGTGACAGTGTTAAAAATAATCACATTACCATACACTGTTTTAACACGATCATTTATAAGAGCATTAGTGTGTAACATTTACCGCAGAAATCAGGGTAACATAAATCATTATTTAAATGTACCTTGTCGAAAACCTTTCTTAGATATTTTGACTCACGTTTCGAACGATTCATAATTGTAAACGTAGTGTACAACCATAAAAATCATACAAGGTCTTTGACCCCAATACAACCCTAATAAAAAGAAAACTGTATGGGATGCCGGGGGTCTAAGGATCACAGTCCAGTTCGTCAACGAGGTTTGACTTCTTGTCTGACTACTCCAATAGACATACAATTAAGTAACGACGATGAAGAAAAAAATACAAAGACAAACAAGCTTTTCTTAAACAGGCTAATTAAACAGTTCAGTAATATTCCCTAGTAACCTACTATATACTTATTTCCCCACCCTCCAAATTATGGGTTATCAGATTGTTATAGTTTCACCCATTAATTAAAAAAAATGTATGTATGCCCATAACAATATATTGAGTGCACCTAACAATATGCTTTGCTACGGTGTGGTCGTTCAGCTACTAAAGAGTCGCGAGTTCGGATCTCGGTCCGGCCTCGGGACTACAGGACGCCCATGATCACATGACTCTGTTGATTGTCGTTAGGGAAAGTGAAGGCGGCTCAATATACAACTAATTTATGCGCCAAGGTCAAGAAGAATTAATTATGAACTCTACTTCCACTGCACTGTTGATAATTAAGTCTGAAAGGGGAGCTTTACGGATTTCCTATTTTTTTGTTCCGAATAGTTTGTTGTATGCCTATCACAGTACATTTGGTGGAATTAAAATTTAACTGTTTTTATCTAATATATACATTATGTAAAAAAACATATTGTGTGCACCTAACATGTGTATTGTTTGCACCTAAGAATATGTTGTGTGCACCTAAACATATATTTTGTGCACCTAGCAATATATTGTGTGCACCTAAAATTATATTAAGCGCACCTAATAATATATTGTGTGCACCTAACAATATATTGTGTGCACGTAACAATATATTGTGTGCACCTAACTATATACTGAGTGCACCTAACATTATATTGAGCACACCTAATAATATATTGTATCCACATAACATTATGTCGTATGCCCTACCTTGCTGTGCTTCACTTCTATAAAGGTGCAATAGCAGTAGGTAAAAGCACCTCAGCAAGAAATCTTGACAAGTATAGGTGCATGAAATAGACATCCTGATCTAGCTGCGTCTTTCATCTTTAATTACAAAAGAAAAGCGGCATTTACAAATTGTAGCCAGTGTCAAATATATTACGCTTGATTGAACGCACAATTTATAATTTTCAAAATGTATTATATTATTTTATAGTATCGTTTAGTAAGTTATCCTAAATGTTATTTGACTGAAAATATTTTGCTTTAAAACACTATCAGTAGCTGGTAAAGACGATTATCCTCACCCTCCCTCCTCACCCCCACCCCTCCCGCGAATTCCATGAAAGCAGCCGTCCGTGACGACAGTTTACAAATGACAATGAATAGTTATGGCCGAAATTGTTATTACCTCCCCTTTTTAAATCTTAAATTATCTGCCCCTACCCCTAATAGCCGACCTTGCTCTACGATTGTAAACATTCGGGGTGAACCACAGCTCACCTGACAGGTGGGGTTGAGGGTGGTAGCTAAGCTATGGTCCACATGAAGAGAATTATATATATATATATATATATATATATATATATATATATATATATATATATATATATATATATATATATATATATATATATATATAGATTATCCTTTAGTAAGAGTTATCCTAAATGTTATTTGAACATTTAAAATAGTTAAGTAAGAGTTATTCTACTTGTTATGTTTAGAGAGAGAGTTAAGCTTCCTGATACTTTAGTTAAGTTATCTCGTTTTTCAGTTATCGAGTTGACGGCCATATAACATCAAAACCTATGTCTGATACTTCATATGATACTTCATATGCTGACATCATTAATCATTAACAAAGTAACTTGACACATGTGAAAAATCGTATCCATAATTTAAATCATTTTTGTAAAAGAAAACCACTGCTTTTCCTTATAAGTACTCCACATTTCACATCTTTTTTGTACAAGCGTTTGCAGCTATAATTTCTGATTGTATACTCAAGAATAATCACAACTGTAGAAAATATGTATGTAACCAGACAAACAAATATCTTTTTTTTTTTTTTAACATCGAACATGCTCATAGTAATACTGTACATGTGTGTATATAACTTTATTGACGCAACTTGTCTACATTAAAACCAGCATAAGAAGAAAAAAAACACTGATTTGTTTTCAAATAATGTATTAGGTTGTTATGTAAAAAATTTCTATGGGCAAGCAATTAGCGGTATGCTATGCTTTTAGTTATCGAACGTTTTATAATTCTTCTGTCTGTAATTAAAGCCACAAAACGTCAATTAAATTTAAAAAATGTGTAAATGACTACATACAGTCATCATGCGGTCTTCAACGTTACCTGTCTAGTGTACCCGTGTTGTTTTTTTTTTTTTGTATCTACAAATATCAAAATTTAATTTGTTACACAACCGTCAAGCAAGACTACTTTCAGAGTTTCTTCCAGGCATCCCCCAATGAAAGTCTACCCCCCCCCTCCCCCTCCCGAACGAAATGGAATTTATATAGAAAATATATACTTTTAACAGTGTCCGCCCCCAACACTTCTTTAGTCCGCCCCCCCCCCCCCTCCCCGAGAAACAAGTCAGAAAGAAACACTAAATGCTTTGTTTTAAGTATTATCACTTTTTGAATAACACAGAAGCATAGTTTCTTCTAGGCATCTCTTGCGGGGGAGGGGGGGGGGGGAATGTGTCCTCCACCCCCCTTCAATCCCTCTGAAAATATCAAGTGCACCCCCGGAGAAAAAAGTCTGGAAGAAACACAGAAGGCAGTCTTTTGTATTTTGTTGCAGAAATAATGCTGCTAGACAAACTATATTACGCATTTGTCGCTGATATAAAAGTAACACTGACAGACATACCTATGTAGACCCTTTACACTATATCTAGGTCTAGATCTAGTGTATACGTCTAGAGTATAAGAAAACGACACGACTCTACACTTGTCTACACTCAAAAGAGTTGGACTCAGATCACGATATCGTATAAAAAAAAACAATTTCTCCCATCCAAGTGTTACCAACCTCAGGTTAGTTATTTGAAGTACATATACATTAATATATTAGATCATCTAGGAATAGATAACATTACCTCGCTTGTACAAAATTAAATTTAACTCCACAACAAAGTCAACAAAAGTAGAACTGTTTCTATAAATATGTGACCGGAAGTACTCTATAAACATGGTAGATCTTACTTAAAATGTTGTCGTAGAGATTATAATCTAAAACGATGACGTTTGACACAAAATAGTTTCTTAGCTTTTGTATTGACAACCATGATGTAGGAAAAGATAATGTGATTCGTTTTCAAATCTTATAGATGACTGTCAAGATCATTGCTTCGTGGTAACAAAAAGAAAAAGAAATGAGTTTAAAATTCAATATTTATTGAATCCTGAAAATGAAACAGAAAAACTTAGTCATAATATTGCGATCCACAATTTACATAATTTGACTTAACAATAATCATTTCCAACATATTATCTTTATGTATTTTTTTCGTTTTGTGTGTGTTCATACAAAGAAAAAAAAAGGTATAGAACAATTGAGATATGTTATATTATGTATGTAGGCCTATATATATATATATATATATATATATATATATATATATATATATATACTTTCAATATTTTGTGTCTTAAAAATAAGGTGATTTGACATGTCCAGTTGAATACATATTTATTTATCAAGTCAACTGCGATTACTCTGTATTCTACTGTCAATGTGTTATACTTGCCATTATTCAGTCGATATGAATCTAAATATGCCACAGCGTGGTCGAATGATAAAGAATATTTGGTCTCGTGCTCCGAATTTGGTTGCGTCTTTAGACTGTTGGACGACACTGAGTCCACCCAGCTCTAATAGGTACTTAACTTTAATTGGGGAATGTAAAGGCGGCTGAGCATAATGCTAACCACACTATATGAAAGAAACAGTGAACTCTATTTCAGCTGCTTAACAATCAGTAAGAGGAGCTTTACTTGTGATTCTACATGTTATATTTCCCATGTACATTTATTTTCTCTTTTTCTAAGACTATTATCTACTGTCTACATTCCCCAGTCGATATTATTGAATGCATACATTCTCATGTTCACGTCAATTTGTTCAAGCATATTCGTTCATATTTTTTTAACCTTTCTTGTATTTATATTATGTTGTCTATATTATCCAGTCAACATTTTGTGTGTGTATAATATGCAGCGCATAATATTTAGCTTATATTATCTAGTTTACATCCACTTTTTCAAATTATCTAATTTTTTTTCAAAGTTGTCGAGTTCACATTCTCTTATTTCAATTCGCTTATTTACATCCATCAATCAACATTCTTTTGTTCACAACTGCATTTTTACATTGTCAATGCCATTTTATTTTGCTCTTATTCATAATTTAATATTCTCTTATTCTTATTCTTTATTCATTATTCTTCTTTTCACATTTTTCATTCAATATTCTCTGATTCACATTTTTCATTCAATATTCTTTTATTCAAATTCTTCATTCAATAATTTCTATTTCACATTCTTCATATACTATTCAATTGCTCTCATCCTTCATTCAATATACTATTGTTTACACACTTCATTCAATATTTTGTTCTCCGTTTAGATTATGTTGTTGATATCAGTATTGTTCAAACTCCATCCCAGTGGCGTAGGCAGGGGGGGGGGGGGTTAGGTGAGGGGGTCATAACCCCCCCTCCCATAGACCCCTCGGTACATAAGTAAAAAGTATGAAGGGGGGGGGTGCAAATCGAAAGCCACTGCTCCATCCCCTATGTTATGCTTTCTCGCGAAAGACCTTATCCATTCCTCGGAGGAAGTATTGGTTACATTTCAACACACTGGAATCGTTTCTAATTTTTTCGACCAACAGGGTCGTTTGGGTCATCGACCTCCCAGTAAATGTGTTGAGAGAGACAACGATTCTCTGTCTCTGTACCGTCTGACGCTGGGGCTACCACGTCTGACGCTGGGGCTACCACGTCTGGCTTCTGAGGTTGTTTTGGTTGTCCTAGAAACATATGGGCACGATATTACAACATTAATGGTTATTTATTAGCCATGCTAAACTAAAATTCGTTTATTGTGAATTTTTTAGGATCTAGATATAAGAATAAGAGTTTCGAAGTAATTTTAAACTAGACTACGATAAGCCATTAAAATAAAGTGAAAACCCAACTATCAATTGCTTCTATGTGGCGTGTCGTTATATCGTAATGCAAGGTGTAGGCCCAAGCCTAACCGCGAAATGGAGACACCACTAAGTTGTAATTTAACCCTTTATCTACTGACGGTACTTATAAGTACCACTTTAATTAAGCGCCTGTATTATTTTTAATTTAAGACGAATTTTAAAAATTATTGATGTAATTGATAGTATTATCTCCCTTGAGTCACAGGTAGGTGGAGGTATCAATGTTTTTTGAAAATTACTGGTGTGGCACCACTTCAATGTCTTGCTATATCGGTAGTTCACAATTGTTCTGTACATATCTCACATGTGTTCCTGATTCCACTTTGTTTTACCTTATTCTTCACGTTTTCAACATCGAATATTTTTTATTGGCATCTTCAATAGTCAGGCAAATACATTTAACTTCTAGTTATACAATTTTTATCAAATTGTCTTTGTAATAGATAGATGTTTACAAGTGGACTTATAAGTACCGTCAGGGCACACGGACATTTTTTTTAGGATTTCTTGGAAATTGCTGATTTTCAATGTGGATTGACATAAATATTATTTTGATAATTAATTATCGAAATGTACTTAAAAATATATTTATGCACTTATAAGAAGGTTAGCATAGGGTTTTCCTCAGAAATATTGTAATTAATTGCAGATTTCTAGTAGTAAAAGAATAACAAGAATAGAGGTGGCAGTTGCAGGCTCGTTTACTAGGTTTAGTATACGTTATTTGTATACCAAAGTCTAGTTCTAGAAGTAAGATTTGTAACTTATATTTGTTGCAAAAACTGTCTTGCATACAATAGCTAGCGTGTACGTAATGTATACATGTATACATGTAGACTAGTAATAGTCCATACATCTGCATGTAGTATAGATCGTTTTGTAATTTTGAATCAGTAAACACAAAACAGTAGGCCATTACGGCTATTCCAAACACATTGAGCTCACTTCTATTTGTGAAATTTACACTGTAGTGTAGACTTGCCATAACATTTTAGTAATCTACAATTATACTAGCATTACTAGTAGTAGTGTATTGAATGACTAGGATTTCGTTTTCAAAATATTTGTTTATGCGGCTCATTGTAATGGCTATTGGAAGCCTCCAGCAAAAGCAGGTTCAGTCCGGCAACTGTTGCCACACCAGAAAGACGACAGACAAGAATGTCTCAGGAATGAGGAATGAGGGAACATGACATGTCGGCACCTTTTGCTGTGTTTGAGGTCTAAGATGTGTTCCGATAGAAAATCCAGTAAAAATCGTTCTAAAAATGTACATTTGTGCTGTGTATGAGTGAAAATTACAAAAAATGATTGTTATAATGATTGCCATGTTATTATTTAATAAGTTGTATCGTTTTTTCCTGTTTTGTAATTTTTTTAATTTTTGAAAAAAATGTCCTACATTCCTGACGGTACTTATAAGTACCAATACATGTTTGTGCCCTTAAAAATTTATAAAACAAAATTTCCTTCGACATATGATTTAAATGTGCCAAAAGCAATATGATAACACATTGTTTAAGAAAAAATGTCATTCGGAACATAATTCCGTAAATAAAGGGTTAATTGCCTGCATGGCAATGTAAATGAGCCGGCGTGGTCGGGTGGTAGAGCGTACAGCGCTGGACCCGAAAATCTCGAGTTCGGATTCACTGCCTTTGTATATAAAGCATTCATAAATTCACCCAGTTCTGATTAATACATGAATCACAATAGGCTTAGTAAAGCCGGTTGAACATAGTTCTTAACACACTATGCTTTCCTTTATTTATGTCACATATATAGGTAGAGGCTACTTTATCTGACACATGGACTATCAACATTGAAAGAGTTATTAAACGTTATGTCAAGATGAAGTATAGACATTTCACAGAGTAAATTTTAAAGTAACCGGTGCCGTTACCTCTTCTTCTCGTTCGACTCAACATGACAAACAGGCAACACGACACAAGGACGATGGTTGCCAAGCCCACGGTTATCCCAGCGTACATGAACAAATGTGATATTAGCGTAGCAGAGTGACTCTGTGATTGTGATTGACAAACAACAGCGGTGTGCTTAAGGGCGTAATTGGCTCCACAAGCACGTAAGCTGCTGTTGTGTATATTACATTTCTTATTTTGCAGTAACACAAACAAACTGTCAACGCCTTCCAGACTTTCTGAAAAAAAGACATTAATCAATATAAAAAATGAATAACTGTAGAGTGATAGACACTAACTTTAACGTTTACATGGATGTAAGAGAAAGCCTATATATATATATATATATATATATATATATATATATATATATATATATATATATATATATATATACATATTATTTATTATACATGTATCTTCTTACTTATAACACATGAGTTAATGGCCTCAAGACGATTCTGTTGGATTAATATGTCCATGTTAGAACAGTTTTGTATCGCTCCATCTAAAGAAATGTTTTCATACATGTCTTTAAAGCATGTCGACTCTTGTGTTGTTAGTTTAGGACAGGTACTGCAGTCAACTAAAAAAAACAAAATAAAAATAAATTGAAGCAAGTTACCAGTTTGTTTCTGGCGGCTCATTATATATGACCTCGGTATAAAATAATATAGAGAGTGTTATGAAACGAGTCAGGTTATAAAAATTATGATTGTCTTGTAAAGGATCCTAACTTTATGATTGGTATATAAGCTTTTAGCTGGCACATCGAAAAAAATAAAGACAGAAATGATTTAAAAGTGCATTGATTAAATGTAAACAATCTCTAGCACAACACAAAATTCAATCTAAAAAAAAAAAAAATTCAACAAACAATCCCTTATTGCTGACTTCTATGACTTCTAACAAATGCAGCTAATTGACCCAAACTAAAGAATTATAGACTTAACTGACTGCTGGACTTTGGCATACGACTGACAGAAGAGGAACAACGCTTTTTATTATTGTTACAACATATTGGAGCTTAACATTTCTAAATCTAAATTCGTCGGCTTGGACATCTGGAACTGC